GGGGGGGGGGGCTCTTTCGTTTTAGAATTTTGAAAATGCGAGCCGGGCGTGTAGGGTGTTCCACGACGCTGACGCCAGATCCTGGGAAATATAAAGGCCGGGGATCCAAGCTGGCGATGGTTCTCCCGGAGAACCAGTAGAAATCCTGCAATCCCCACGACACACACTAGCTTCCGCACCTGTTTTCCGGTGCATCGAAAAAGAGGCGGGCGTTCTTACGCGCGCCGACGGACAGAGCGAGCTGGTGCGAACCAGAAGAAGAAGAAGAGAACCGGCTAGAAGGTAGAGCTTGGTAGAAGAGAAGGAGGTTGAGGTGGCGGCTGCAGAGGAGGAAGAGGAGGAGGAGCAGGAGGAGGCGGATGAGGTGGATGACGAGGAGCAACGGTGCGGCGGCAGTAAGAGGAGAGACGAGAGGAGGAGAAGGAGGAGAAGGAGGATGACGACGACGACGACGACGACGACGACGAGAAGGAACGAGGAGTGTGAGGAGGACGAGGATGAAGAGGAGCAGGAGGAACAGTAGGAGGTGGAGGAGGAGAGGAATGGCCGGGGTGAAAGCAAGCGGGGGTGGTCCAATCAGAGGCGAGTACGGGTGGGGCAGAATACCTCCGCCCTCTCCCTCAGCAACGTTACCTCCTGTAACTCTCCTCCTCATCCCTCTTTCTCCACGAGGTTGGAATCACCGCCACTTCCAACCAGCAGCACCACCACTATCCACCTTCTTCCTCCTACTCCACCTCCACCTCCACCTTCTACGTAAGCTCTGGTCTCTCCTCCTCTCTGAAGCCCCCGCGGCTCCTGGCGGCTACCCAAGACAAGTGCCCGCGAGAGATTCTCACGGCATGAGCGGGGATCGTTACGTACGACCGACGGCGAGGATATCCACGGCCGAGGATTTCCACGACGATTTCCGCGCGAGTACGCGTTACCAACCCATCATCCACGATACGCACGCAATAATGCTGTCCGCCGCACCCGTCGTCGTGGACCCAGCAACGATTGCGCTCACCTGGATGCGACCGATCGTCCGACGTGATTGAACGACCGCCGTCGTCACGCACACGCATCGCCACGTACACAGAGACACTCGCAGCCAGAGTGGAACACGGTGATTCTACCGATCACGCGATCGACAGTAAGTAGGCGCAACGTTGTTTTCATCTCCCTCCCCCCTTGCGTTTGGTCCTCATGATTCAGCCCGTTGTGTAACAATCTCCTTGCAGTTACTGGTGTGTACATTGGTGACAGACAAATCACGATTCGTATTTCGAAATCACTCGCACCTTTCAGGTGACAAGGAACGCTAAACGAACGCGTATGAATTTGAAGTAGTATTATAGATGATATCGTTGACCCGTCGTGTGCCCTATGAATGGAAGCAAAAGTTGCTTTCCTGCCGATGAGAAATAAATCTGGGGATGATCGTATGTGGAATCGAAGGAGAAAGGGGGAAAAGTGTCGGGTGTACGGTCGGATAAACACCTGTGCGCGAGATAGGAATGGAGTAATCGGGAAAGGGGACGTGGATGGAAAAAGATAAAGACTGTAGTAGTGGGGTGTGCTCGGATTGCTCGACCGAAACGCGGATGATTCGATCCTTTCTGAACCATTTCACTCGATTTGCCTTGGTGAAATATCGCCGGCCGACTCGCGACCAACTGCCACCATACGTGTACGCGTGTGCTTCGAATTCTCGCTCGTTTACGTTTCTCCGAACTGTGCTGTTTGTCTGAACACGGTCGGACACTTCTACTGCTTCTGCTTCACTGTGCCGAAAGAGCCCTGACGTGCGTCGCGTCGTAACAGAACGTTCTTTTCTTGCTCTCTCGTTTCCTTAAACATGAAGAAATTTTTGTGTTCTAGAAAGTGCGGTTGAGAGAAAAAGAATTTCAACGTTATATCGACAAGTTGTCGCATATCGAGGTAATTTTGCTTTTGTTCGTTGCGAGAAGAGAGGGAAACAGGGTATTATATTCTGACGAATTGTCGGCTTTTTTTTTTGGAAGTTAGGTTTCGGTGGAATCTATTGGATGGATGGATGAAACGTTTTCACGAAGTTAGATACGCGTCACGTAGAAAGACAAACTGGATAGCACGTGAAAGTAGGGCGACGAGATTATCTTGGCCAATAAAGCGAATGGTTCGGAATGACTGCAATTATTTCGTGGCGCGTGTTGCTGGTGCCGATTGGACGAAACTGTTTCGCGATCAAGGGAGATAAAGACCTCGAGGGTACGCGCGAACCTATGGTGGACCTATCGTGTATTACCGTAAACGAGATAATGTCCGCTCGCTTAGGAATCCTCGCGAAAGTGGAGTACGCGCGTAAAATGGGAGAACGTTTATCTGGAAATAAATTAATTGCCTGACGATCCAGATAATTTCTGCGAAATTCAAAAAATGACAGATATAACTTCTAATTTCCGATTGCAGGAATTATATGTTGTAAAGTTATTTTTAAAGGAATCAGTTTGTCATGTTTTTCGTTTTGAAAACTAATATGCAAGGAGTAGCACAATTTTCAATTGTCAAGTCCGATATTATATTTTTCTTATTGCAGGCCATTTTTATGGCCTCGCAACAAACACCACAGGCACGATCCACCATGAGATAACGCGTGTGGTAGTCTAGCTCATGGGAGGAGGAGACTCTCGCCGTGTTATATCATTTATATTTAAGAGGGAGGACGAAAGTTTGCTAACAACATGGCCGACACGTCTCTGAGCTTTTCCACTCGCCACTCTGTGCTTTCATCGTCTGGCAAGGACGACCTTTATTCTATTCTCGGCGGTTCCACGGCGCCGAGAACCGCCCACTTGCAAACCCATCCTGTGAAGCAATTTTGTGAGGAAAAAAGAGACGCGAGAGTGGCCGTACCGGCCATTACGCGGATGCTCGCAGATTCACCTCGATACACGCCCGCTTCCAGAAACTTCAACCGCGCAGCTTTTTCTATGTAGGACGGAAGCGTACAATATTCTTTCGAGAGTTGCCGTCGATTCGTTAGAGAATGCTCCTCCGTCCCAGGTAACCGTCTTTCGCCATGCGATATTTCCTCTCTGACCTTCTAAAAAAATTCCGCAGCTCTCGGAAAAAAAAAATTGTTGAGAATTATTCGGCGAAATTTTCGAAAGAAATTTGGTGGTGTTGAATTTATTATTTGTAATATTTAATCTACGTTTTCGTGTTCTTCTTCGCAATTAAATGCCAATTATCCTACGAAGTAATACGATATTTCTGAATTAAGTTTAAAATAATTGAAGTTATGCTACTCTTTCAAATCCAATCTTAAGACATTGATTCGTTTATTTTCGACACGTTTTGCAATGAATATAAAAATTATTGAAAAAAATGTAGCATCCTCGAATCTTCTAAATCGAGATTACGAAAAGAGATTTAAGCGATAATTATTATTTTTAAACTTTCTCGATACCAAGTACTCCGGCTCAGCAAGATCACGACTGCTTAAAAGACACATTCGAAATGACAGTGCGTTTTCTCAACAAAGACACATGAATTTCTCTCACGAAAGAAATCACTCGACCTGCGAATAAAGTATTTATCCAGCGAAATAGCGCAGTGGACGGGCGAGCGGGAAATGAGAAAGGCTGTCAGCCAAATGCGAGTTAACAAGTTCGCGATCGACATGGCCGCGTCAAGCACGTCAAGCTGTTTAAGCACGCAGTCACGCGAAAGCACGACCGCGAAACACGCGAGCCACGTCGTCGAGGATTTTCACGCGTTCGACCGCGTGTGGATCTGTCGCTTGGTTTATCGGCGTGCACGAACGCCGGCCGAGATCGAAAAAGCGGATACAGCCAGTCGTCGTCGATAATAAACGAACACCCGCAAGAAAGCCGCGGGCAATGACGAATGGTAGAATGG